AAAAAAAATTGGGTTTGCTCATTGGATGCGTGGATGTAATCGAAGCACTCGAAGAGGGGAGGCACGTTACGTTCTCAGTTTACAGACTTTACCGGGACGTGGACCTTTGATTTTTATAGGGTCATTTATTTTATGTTAAACGCTCTCACACTAAATTGTAGAAGGTTTAGGCTTTTAGACTATATTTTATTGTACCTCATTTTGTTTTTAAACTTTTAGTAGGAGCATAGTACTGGATACACACGCCATACCCGAGTTACAGCCGCAGCATGAATCGCAAACCTTTACCTTAAGAGTTATCCAACACATTTTCACATATGCTCGATTAGAACAAAATGATCTTGACGGTAAATTTGGTTTTCAAAGTATGAACGCTAATTTTTATATTCAGCACAATCATGCCGGCAAACACATTGATGTATTAGTGTACTCTCCGATTAGTGAAATATATATAGCTTCTTGGCTGTTTCAGTTGCAGTTCATATTTTCATTGAAGAAAGCAGTCTTCTGGGATTTGGCACCGTGTATAAATGGTGTTTACCGACGTTTCGGAGGAACGTATCGCCTCCATCTTCAGGGTAGAAGAAAATATAAGAATTCTGCAAGCGAAGAGACCGTGAGAACCGGTAAAAGCAGACTGCTTTTACCGGTTCTCACGGTCTCTTCGCTTGCAGAATTCTTATATTTTCTTCTACCCTGAAGATGGAGGCGATACGTTCCTCCGAAACGTCGGTTAACACCACTTATACACGGTGCCAAATCCCAGAAGACTGCTTCCTTCATAGTCACCGCCGTGAAAGCCTCAAATCTTACATATTTTCATTATTCGCATTTCTTATCTGCATGTTACGTTGCTGTAGTGTGTGGTTTATTTATATTGTAAATTTGGGTAAAGCTTGCACGAGAACTGTGATATACGTACGTTCATTTTTACACCGAGTTCGTGGGTTGTCGTCTGTCCATCAGCTCAACATGTTCGATAAAATTCCGTACGGGGATGAGGCCTACACTAAATACTGGCGAGTGAAATTAATTTCGGTCCATATGGGCTGAATATAAAGCCTAATTTACACGAAGACCAAACGGAACTTTATAATAAATTTTCTTCGAAACCGGTCTCGTGTACAAAAGAAATTGGCACATAGCATAACCTACTCGCGTAGACCTCATTAAGATCTACAGCATTTATTTTAAACATATGCAGATGTCAGTGCCGTTTATAATCTTCGTAACGATAGATTTATATCTGTGATAAATATATGCGTGTATATATCGAGGAGAGTGAGGAATGTATGTTGAAACAGCCCAATCGCAATAACGACTACGCCACTGGTTGGGCGACCGAGGAATCTGGGTTCGATTCCCGGCAAGGAAAACGAATTTTATGTTCTTCACACCCTCCAGACCGGCTCTGGGGTTCGACCAGTCTCCTAGTCGTGAGAATCCCTGGGTAGAAACCACTTCCCTAAGGTGAAATTGGTGAGGCTTGAAGCTCACCACTGATCTCCGTCTGTTGTCCAGATTACGTATGCGTGAACCTTACCTCCACTCCCCCATATGTGTTCAGAGGGCGATGCTTAATTAGACATGGTGACAAATATTCTAGTAATATGTATGCCTTCATTCCGTTGGAGTACACCTTTCAAGATTCACTTACTTTATTTTAAAGTTCTTATTTCACTTCTTTGTGCATGGCGAAAGACATACTCCAACTTCAAAGCATTTTCTATGTGATGATAGCGGTTTTCTAGCTTCGCCTCTCTAGGCGTTTGCTTGTAAGAGATTTGACTGTTACGATCACCAACTTTACAGTTCAGTGATATAGTGTTCTAAGGACTTTCTTTGCTTAGTATTCCGTGAGATTCAGACTTGTTTAAACACGTGTATTTGCGCGTTGAATATGCAATGACGCGACAGTCTTGTACAAAAATGGCAGACATCAAACAGGTGATATGTCTGTATGGCTTCCTCCGCCACGTCCTTGGGGATTGTTGGGGGGGGGGGTCACCTGCGCCAATACGGTGTCACACGACATGTTTTGTGCGGGTTGTCCGTTTAGACAGGGTATCGAATGATTGATTTGTGTGCAGTCGGATTATGTGGCATTGAGTAATGAGAATGGACGTGTTTTATTTATGGGTACAGAGGTTTTGTATTTTCGATGAACTGATATGAGATGGCTGAGTGTGATTGATAAATACTCACTGATGTATGCCTTCCATTGCGATGTGGAGGTTTGATCATAGAGAGGTTCTGAGTGTCAGATGAAATTTAGAGGTCATTGTGTTTCATTTAGTCGTAGAGAGGTTATGAGATGGGGGCATAGGTTAGGTTTCTCATAAAATAAGTTACGAAAGTGAATAACTGTGCTGAATTGTGAGGCACTTTAAAGAAGGCAAACGCCGCTTACTAAAAGGTTTTATCTTATTCAGTGCTAAGGGGGAAAAATTAAAGGTATCCTGTGTGAGCGCCACGGAGAGGGGCACTTTGGTTCCACAGTAACAGAGAAGTAGGAGTATTTTGGGAGATAAGACAAAAGTCTATCCTTAAAAAAATAGTATGTAACATTTTGGACTGAATTCTTTTGATTCAGGATAGTGTCCAATGTTGGGCTGTTGTAAATACGGTGATGAACTTTCGAGTTCTATAAAAGGCTGAACATTTTTATTAGTTGAGGAACTGTTATGCTCTTAAGAATGATTGTGAACATGTTATGAAACTGAACGATTTCATATTCCTACAGAGGCATCCGTTCGTGCTTGGTAGAACTGAAAGGCTAGAAACACGCTTCTTTGTTTATTAGCTCCCCCTCAGCCACTGCAGTGAGACTGGCAGACTGACGTAGTGACGTAGCAGCTACGTTCTGCCGACACGCGGATTCTTCTGCTCATGGAAATCGCTGCTTAACGAACACGTGTCCAGACGGACTCTTTATAGGCTTATAGACTCTGTATTAGTTGCTGAATGAAATGAGTATTTCACATGATCATAATTGAAACATTAAAATAAATACGGTACTGATAACGAATTTCACTGTTATTGGTCAGTTCCATCCATTTTCATAAACACTCTAGCACGTAACGAAACAACAGTCATACGTAAACATTTTGGCCCCTTCATGTTTGTAAGATTTATTCTCAATTTATTTAATATCGCGTGTTCTCCTGAATAGGGTTTTCATTATATTGTCACATGTGAAAGTGTGCGTGGCTTATAAGACTGGTTTTGGATTTGATGATTGGATTTATTGACACCTTATACACACCACTCGGAACCACAGGCAATACACCGCTGTCGCTGTTACCACAATTTACAGTTCACCATTATACACGCACTAGGGCTCTAAGTCTTTACTAGTCGTGTCCTGGCAACGGATTCGTAACAGTCTCACTGTCAATTCAAACTACACTTGAAGTCTTCTTTGCACCGTCTAATTCCTTTCTTGCCATTATTCTGCTACTGTCAGTTCCGACGGTACTACTCAGTTCAATTCATCTGCTCCCATGCTCATATCCTGGCAGGCGGGCGTCTAGAAACTCGATTAACTCTTCTCAACTGCTCTCTTCTTTAAAACCACTTTGAACGGACTACGCAGAAAACACAGCATCTGTGTTGATGGGAAGGTGTGTTTACAGCGCCGTTGCATAGTAACGGAAATTACTCGATTGTTCCTTGCGTATCCGTTGCAGCGGCAATATGTTTTACCGAGTCGTTGCCTAGCAATGAACGTCTATTCTGACTTCGCTGTTGCTTCTTTCGGGCGTAATATCACAATATAATGGCATACTGACTCTGACTGGATGTAAACGGGATTGTACCGAGAAAAACTACGAAAAACGTAGGCAGAATAGCTGGTCTCCTGTCCGAGTAATGAACTCGAG